TCTTTAACATCTCCTCTAAAGATTAGCATACCCGCCTCCTTCCAAGCCCCCCTCGAGGTGGGCACAAAACATGGCAAATCGATTTGACCCAAAATTTTCTATGTTGTAATCACGTGATTTCAATTATTTTTTGCCACAAAAAAACTAGACATATGGAACTCTATTATACTTTTTACATATTTGATCTAGCTCGTTTAGATTAAGAGATAATTGAAATTTGGCTGGGCCAATACTTTATGACGGACTGGATAATAACATAGTAAATTAATGCTATAATTATCGCTTTCATAAATGTGTAAAATAAATAAATAATATAATTATATAAAAACATTTTTAATACAAAATAAACATAAAAAATAATTAAAACAAAAACTATTTAATCAGAGATTCGCGGACAACCCTACGGCCCAAAAGTGTCGCATATTTGGCGAGTTCACCTTGGTCAGGGACAACGCCAACCAATTGGCCACTGCTCTAGAACAATCTGGACTGCCAGCCAATTACGTGGCTGGACAACAATTGCGCCAGTTCAATCTGTCAGAAGTAGCATGGCCATTTTCGGAGGCAATTGAGCTCACAGTAACGCCGGCTCGAGCCCTACGCTCTCACACAAGCAAACAACTAGACATGGCGTCTAACCCACGGGGTGTGGCCATCATTATTGTTACCGAACCCGACCTGTATCTCGAGGCCGACCGATTCGGGTCAATTTTTCAGCAATTACTATTTACGCCGACTATTCATCGGGGGCTAACCCGTGACCAGATTGTGGACGTGTTGACAGCTGTGGCCAAGTCTAAGGAGAAGTATAAGGCCGACGCGTTTATCATGATGTTTATTGGTCACGGCGTTAACGAGAGTATCATCGGGTGCTCAGCGCAACCGCCGGCGCCGAGCGATGAGCTGCCCATCAGGGATATAGTGACAATGTTTTCCGACCGTAATAGCCGTGCGTTACGCCAAAAGACCAAACTCTTTGTATTCAACTGTTGCCGCGAGAGTACGTGATAAAAATTTAATTATTACTTAATGTGCCAAGCTAACTATTAATTGTAAACAAAAATTTTAACGTAACTTAAATAGAAGAGGCGCAAGCGGCCAAAGTGAAGCCGGGTGCTATTGCTGTTAACGTGGCAAACAATAAATGCGTAAACTG